CGGTTTGGTTTTTTCAGGTCAACTCGGTCAACAAAAAGCTTATAACAAACTGACCGAATAGAAAAAAATGGCAACCGAAAAAACGCACGTATAGGTAACACCAACAGAGGTTGATTTAATTTTGGATAGCTATTCCAAAAATAGCAGCAATTGGGTGGCTATTCAGGCCGACGTTAGACATCAAGTACATCTTCTTCCACCATCTGCCAGGAATCTATAGGAGAACGGGAAATTTGACAAGGTGAAAAGACACATGTCCGACCAGATCAAAAAGGCCATGAAGGAAGGTTTTGTCAGCTCTAGTGAAGATATGAAAAAAATAGTGGAGGACATTAAAGCAAAAAACAAAAGATACCAAACAAAGGAGCACACTAGGGGGAAATCTAAAAATGAAACAAAAGAGGTATTTGAAAATATTGGCACATCTTTATAATTTTACTAAAATCCCTTTCGAAAAAAAACCCCAAATAGGTTGCCTAATTTTGGTACATTTATATCAATATATTTTTCTTATCTATAGCTAATCTTTTAATGTTTATCTTTAGGAAATGACAAATATGGTCAGATTTGAACCGCATATTTTACTCTGAGTACACACAAACCTGTGCAAATTCAAGAGTGTTAAGGCAAGGCTGGACCTAAACTAATACAATTAAAATGGTTTTTGTTTTTGTTTTGTTTTTTTTTGGGAAGGGGAGGGGGGGAGGGGGGCGCTCAGTGACCCAGTGGTCTAAGTAGTTGAACAACAGTATCAATACCTTGTCAAACTAAGATTAAGATTATGAGTTCAAATCCTACACGAGACAGGTGCGCTGGACTCAAATCTTCATTTACTAGAATTGTCAGTTTTCCTACCGAAGGTCGGTAGCTCTCCCCGTGCACTGTGGCTTCCTCCGCCAATAAAAACTGAACGCTACGAAACAGAGCAATAGTGCTGAAAATGGTGTTAAACACCAGTCAATCAATCAATCAATCACTTAATCAATCATTTTTTTTTTTTTATAATTATCATTGTTTTATCATGATTTATTATACTATTTGAATGTGTTGATTATTTTATGAGCCCTTTGTTAATCCTTCTTATCCACCTATGGTATTTACCCCACTAAATAAATTAAGTGCCTTTTCTTCGGGATAAAATATGATAAATAAAACGTAATTCTTGTACTTTTTTGTAGGTTGCACCACAAAAGCAAGAAACCGACATTCGTCAGGCTGTCATCAATCCTGACGCCGATGTGGATGTGCCAGATTTGGAAGATGAGGTGGTTGAGGAGGATAAGGAAGATGCAGAGAAAGAGGATTCGAGCGATGAAGAAGTTGTGAGACCCAAAGAACCTGACAATCAGGAAAATGCAAAAGATAAAGAAAAGAAAAGAAAATCAACAACGGAAATGGCAAGGGAAGCCTATGAACGCTACCTTGATGATTACGTGGACGGCCATTAGAGGCAAAGATGATGAGGTGCATGGACAAATTTTAAGACATGTGATCTGCAGTAACTTGTTTGTTTTAATTCCATATTGCTAAGTAAATCTGTTTGGTTGGAATAAAATAATTTAATTTATAAGTTATGCACAAAATATTTTTTTTTTTTTATTTAATTCAGAAGAAGCTTCAAAATATGACAGTAGGCAGCCTATGAATAAAATACATTGGTTTATAACATTTACGTGTTATTTTGTATATGGTTGTGGCTACTTCTCTCCAAATTCTAGTCGACCCTTGCAAGAAATATATCTCATTTTGTTTAGAGTTTTATTTAACTTTAGAGAATTCGTTCAGACAATAATTTCAAGGAGTATAAAGGAATGAAAATACATTAAAAAAAACAGAAACGAGAAACACCTTTGAACCACACGTACAAACGACAACCACTGAACAACAGCCTTAGGACAGTTGCTTGTTTAGCGACAGTCTTACCAAAAAAATAAGGTAGGGTGTTCCATTCGTTTGTGGGTCAGGATATAAGTTTACTCTATATTTAGATCCATGTCGGAGTGTAAGGAATAAATCGAAAAAAGAATGCATGATAGTATACTAAAGCTTTGAAGAGAAAATTGAAAATATGTGTTGGACAGACTGGCGGACGGATGCGGGTACAATATTTTGTCAGTGTATGTATCTTAGATGCTAGTGGTAAGGAAGTCTAGATCAAAAATGGGGTAATCTTTACTTGTTAAAATATTTTATACCATTTAAAATATTAATTGCATGCCTACTTAATATTAATAATAGCAAGTCACAAGGAGAATGGAAGCTATGAAACACCATTTTACAATAAAAACTGAGTTTTTTTATACAAAGAAACAAGCAGAAAAATCAAATAAATTATGCAACAAAAAGTGTTATCAAAACAAAACAAGTGTTGCTAGAATAATAATATATGCACATAAAGCATACCATATAGAAACAGGTTTTTATTAAATATGGAATTGACTGGTAGCAGGCTAGCCTCGATTACGGGTTCAATTATTTTGTTGGACCCCCTGATCGAATGACTGGAAGACTGGATTTTTCGGCTTCTCCACCAAGCATGATGCATTCACGAGTAAGAACAGGTATTGGTTTACTCGAAGAAAGACAAGTGTGTCTTTGTAGCGGAAACGCTATCTTGTTACCTAGCATATAAAAATGCTACTGTAAGTGTTGGTCATGTACAAAAAGGTATATTCATTTATCATTATCATTTCATCATCCTTAATATATATGTAATATTTGTCGCTGGATATAAGACATACATCATCATCATCATCATCATAAGTATTATAGCTTGAGGCTTCTTCGTCGTAAGTATTATAGTTTGAGGCTAAATTCTTATCTGATATTTTAGCTAATTTATTTCGAGAACTTATTTAAAGCACTCATCTCTATGCTATGCTACATATTTTTTATAAATGTCCAAGTTAAAGCCAATAGAGATCATAGAAGTATGTTTATCAAATGATCATGTCTACTCACAATTAAAACAGTAAGAAAAGGATTGACTCGTCCGACTAAAACGAAGCACAAAAACAGCAATTACTAGTATTTCCAAATAAACTCCATGTACCGATCTAAGAGTATTCACAGCTACTGAACACTATCTTAAAAACAACTACAACTAAAAAATAAAGAATAATTATCCAGTCTAGAATATTAATCAATGATGTTATACTGTTACACCACTGTCCCAGGTAAGGGGGCCCGCGAACATGATTAACCCCGCCACATTATGTATGGATGTGCCTGTCCAAAGTCGGGAGCCTGTAATTCAGTGGTTATCGTTTGTTGCTGTGTTTTCGTTAATTTTTTTGTACATTAATTAGGCCGTTAGTTTTCTCGTTTGAATTGTTTTACATTTGTCATTTTGTTGTGGCCTCTTATAGCTGACTATGCGGAATGGGCTTTGCTCATTGTTGAAGGCCGTACGGTGGCCTATAGTAGTTAATTTCTGTGTCATTTGGTCGCTTGTGAAGAGTTGTCTCATTAACAAGCATACTACATCTTCTTTTTTGTACATATCACAAATTAAGTATAAAAAAATCATAAACAGTATAGAAAAGCAATTAGAACTTTTGTCATGTCAATAGCACAGAGTGTCTGTAGGACTATTAGTGTTCATAACTGTATAGCAGATTATATGAAGTTTCTATAAAATGTAATGATAATTTATCGGCAAACGATACATGATGAATTGTTAGTGGAATTATATATAACTATATAAAGAAATAAATAATATAAGTGCCTATAAATAGCAACACATGACATACAAATCTATGGGAGTGTGGATTAATCAGTACAGAGATTAATACAATTACACAAATAAAATTATAGATTGCCTAACAATGTAATTTACACACTATTTAGTATTAAATATTAGAATGTTTAAAATATTAAAATTAAATAAATAATATATATATATATTTATATTAAAAGAAACATCAGAAACAAGAATATTTGTCCATTAGATTACACGTCAGTATCACATTTCCGTGTTAATAGAGCTACTAAATTCAGGGAAAAATCCAATTCAGTATGTAGTCTTAAACTTTTAAATCTCATGCGAGATGTCCAATGTTCAAATATTGTTGTTTTTAAAACATATTTATCAAAGTCAAACGACAATCATTTATTTGTTTTGTGCAATACAATTTGTGATTATGGCCTTATCCAAGATATTTGAAAGAGGTCGTAGTTCCCGATAATTGAATTTATACTGCCGAGCAGGGCGATGCGAAAAAAAATTGGACGATTGGATACTAAAAATTTGTATATATAACGTAGAAAACATGAGATTTTCAAAATTATTTGGCGATCAAAAGGGGGAAAGGAGTAAGCCCTCTACCCCTGTATCCGCGAATGCACGTTTAGGTATACATGGACAAAAACCTCGTCCCATGCATTATTATAGTTAAAGACGAAATGTACAATTTGATAAATGTACCAATGATATTAATTTCTGCCCACGTCAAATTATTCTGAATTAAATTATAAAAAAAATAATTTAAAAAAAAAGTTAGTCGCGTACACCTTTTACATTCGGGTTGGAATCTACTTCTTAAACGTTAAAACTTTGAAAAACAAAAAAAAAGATAACCTTCTCGCTTCGGATGTCATTATTTTTATATTTTCATGCTTAATTTTGACTTGGTAGTTTTTAAAATTCATATTTTGAGAAGAACTGAAATATGGGTCAAGTGAAATGACAAGAAATGATGGGTGTATTTGATTACAAGTTACTAGTTTACTTATTCCGTTAAAATATTTTTGTCAATGAATTATTCAAAATTTAATAACAAAATATTTAAAGATTAAAAAAAGCAGTTGGGTTGATTTTTACTTTAAGTCTATTCCAGCAAAAAATGCGTGTTCAAAGAGCAAAAAATGCATGCAGTGTATACTCCCCTCCGTCATGGTTCAATGCAATAGGACGAAATACGTTGAGTTAGGTCGGTTATGTCGAGTAAAGTCATTTTATTGGAAATCTCTATTGTAACGTTGGGTAACATTTTTTTCAGGTTACTAGGACTCGCTCAGCGTGAAATGACAACGTCAAAACTGCGGTATTAATAATTGAATAAAAATATATATGATATAACACTCTGCTTGATCTGACATTCAATATAATTAACATCATTCGACGAAACGATCCAAAAAGATATTTCCCTGCCTTGTTGTATTTGCACTTGAATTTAAAAATAACAACTCCGAAGCCACCAAATAAATAATTAATTATGAAAATAAATAAAATCACATGAAACGAGTTTCTTGTAATGATAATGTTATCGAAATTATTGAACCAATGCACGCATATATACTAAGTAGCCTATTAGGGTGCCCAGTCAATGGATTTGAATGATTTGGGTTATTGGAATAACACACGGCTGTACGTTATATCATTAGAAAGAGGATAACAAGCCTCATCGAACTATTGATGTCGTCGTTGTCTACAGTGGTCACGATTGTCTTAACTTTGTGTCAATGGTCAAAGCTAAAATTTCAGAGAAAACGCAGAGCCACCTTTAAACAGCGTGCCGACCCTACATATATCCGTTTAGAGCGAAATAAATTCGAATAATTTAAAACGATTATTACTTTAGTTTCTATATTTATGACTGATTTGATAGTTATGTTGATATAGCATCGATGTATTCTACTAACACCATTTTGTAACACATATAAACAAAATAGAAATATTGCCAAAGCAAGTAGTAGCTTTTACGTTTCATTGTCTACTGTTAGTTTGAAAGTCTAGGTCTAAGTCAGAGAGCTAATTTCCGTTGTTCTTATTTTTAACTCGTATTCGACGTAAGAATGCGAGGCATATATAATACAATCTGATGGTGGAGGCGGCGGCAACTGCGTAAACTATTTGTATAGTTTTATGTTTCAGAATGTCTCACTTATCATGAGTTCTGGGATAACTATATCTGGTTACTAGTATATTGTATCCATGCAGAATCTACATGTCCATCAGACATGGTTCACCTGACCTGGATCTCAGTTCATTGATAAGTGAACAAGGTTATGTTTCCGTGGTATAGTCCATATCTCAGATACTATAAGTTGTGGGTCAAATATACTTGTATGGAATGATAGCAATGTATACATGTCTTTGTGGAAGAGTTCAACTGACATTACCTCATTTACGCATGGATCATTGATAATGTTTATTTTATGTAATACTTGTTCTCTAAAACTTTCGACATAGTTCAGGTATGTTTAATCAAGCATGCTGTACCTTATTCCTTATCTTATAGAAAAACCTGATATAACATCCTAGTTTTTACGGTAATGATCTTTATGGTCTTACTTTTCACGTACACTTGTTTTATAGTAAATCGTAGCCATTCAAGTATATAAAACATGTTCATTTTTTTTTTAAATTTGAAGTTAATATTATTTTCCGACGTCCAAATATCATTGGTCAGGTATAAATTAAACAGAACAAGAGAGATGGGATTCGAATTAATTTCCAACAGATCCAATTAAGATTCGTCACCAGGGAACCATCAGCTACTATGCAAGACTAATATTAAAATAGTTAAAATTTTAGCAATTAGACAGGATGAGACATTACAAAAATTCAACCAGTTGAACAAAATTTTTTTTTAAAGAAATCAAATCAAGGAAGTACTATATATATACAAAGAACGCAAATTACTTGAGGAGCAATAAATGGGCAACACAAATCCTTTAAAACTTTGAGGTTAGGTCTGATTTGTAATAATATATCATTTTACCATGATTTATTTATTAAAATGGTTACTGAATAATAATCGATTAATCCTGCGTCATATGCTGTTAAGGTAACAAAGGTGTGTGGATGTTTCAAAAGTCGAAGCAACAAAGACAGCTTTTTTGTTTATTTCGAAATCTGTATTTTTACTAACTCAGACCCTAACCATAACCTAACTTACAGGCTTGCTATTTTCCCCAAACGAAAACATACGTCCATCTTTAACACAATTATAGTAATAATATAACTCATATTTCAATCAATATCTTTTTCACAGTTATTGTTAAATTGCGTTTTGTTCTAGAGATTGAGCATCGTTTGTGTCACTTTTAAAAATGGCAGTAACGTTTTCGACAAGTTATAACGAGTACATCAAACAAACAAACAAGTCATAATATATAATGTTGTTAAAAACAAATATTCATTTTTATTGTATGAAGGATTCCAGCATGACAGCAAAAGGGGGACTTGTAAAGATAATGTGAGAAGCGCACGAAATATGTGTACCTTACTCCAAATCTGTATGGTCATTTGTTCAATTATTATAATTGGTTAGAACTGATGCTGATTCTGATTATACTATATCCCAGGTTGAAGTAAGCTACGTTTGCAACGTCCATTAGTCAATATTACAGGGATATATTAAGGATAATGCCACATAATAAACTTTTTATTTTCTGTACATTGTTTCGTCTTTTTAATTTAGACCATCAGGCTCTAAAGTATGAAGCTGGTGGATTCAAAAGTTTTTTTTCTTCTCCTTTTAGCCGCGGTGTCCCATTCAATATAAATAAGAAGATGTGGTATGAGTGCCAATTTTTACATTTATAATTTGAAAAGTAACATTAGCAAAAAGGAAGTTTCTTTCAGCGAAGATATATTGTGAAGTGCCAGTTTTTGTTGATATTGCATCATGATCGATAGATTTTTAGCCGAATGTTAAAGTTGTCCATTGTTTCTTCCACGTATTGAATCCACAAGTTAGTACATCAATTGAGTTCTTTGTTTTACAGTTTATATTTACGTAGATGGTATGACTTTGTTTTGTAAAGGATCTGATGAAAGAACTGCAAGTATTGGCAGCTTTCCAACAAAAACAATTCCTTTTGCCACATTGTATGTAGCTTCCATGAGTTGGAGTAGATTGCTTTGTTTATACAACTGTTACTAATGTGTCACGAATAATCTAAAGTGGCGTATCTTGACCCTTATTTCTAATTAGGCATTTGAGGTTTTAGTTAAGACTTCACCGAAGCCGTGATGCAGATTTCGAGGGATTGGGTGGTTCAATGGCGAAACCGACGTCGCAAAAGAGTTTTCAGCAGTTTTGCTCAACCCCTATTGACAAATATTTTATGCGTTCTTTTAGACTAGACAACGTTTATATCAATTCAATTGGATGAGTCGATTAAGATGAGAGCACAAAACTCGACTAAATGCATGCAAGACATGAACAGAAAATTTACCCTGCAACAGGTCCCTTACGGACTAGGCACCGGATTTAACGAGCCGATTCAGACCTGATGTGGCTGTGAAGTTTTACATCCCACACTGCCAAATAGATAGCAATCTTAAGCATTGGCTGAATGTGAGAAATCCAAACATGACCATATTTCTATACCCCAGTAAACCTTTGTGGTTTATTCAGAACGATAACTAATCAAGAAATCCACTAAGTTTTGCAAAAGAGGTCGATCGGAATATGTGGACTACCATTTTGAAAAGAGGGAATATTAGGATAGGGTATGGGTATAGAATACGTACATCCCGCATAGCCAAACAAACTTATAATGTTACTATGCTGGTTAAAGTTTTGATAAGCGATATTCAAATTTAGATAGGGTCTAACCTTATCAAAAATAGCTGTCATCGTCATCACTAAAAATGTTAACTATGTCTTATAACTTTAGACGTTTAGGGATTTTGTCAAGGTGCATGGATGTATTATAACTGCATGAATTATGATGTCTGTTTCGTATTATTGAAGGAAAATGGCGATGGGAAGAGGAGCACAGTTGGTTTCCATAGTTAATCGGAATCTCTGTTTAAAAACACGAACTTAACGTATAAAAATGTTAGAAATAAAAATTTCATGTCAGTTTCAAAGTTCTCTCCTCTTGTTTGAATCCGTTTTTTTTTTCAAAGTATATTTTTTCCGTTCCTACAACAAGGCATTTGTATAAACATTGGTCATTTTTATGAAATAAAGTAGATCAGCTCGCAAACAAGTTTAACCCAGCCACATTATGTATGTGTCTATCACAAGTCGAGAGCCTGTAAATCAGCTGCTGTCGTGGTCTAGCATGCCCAGTTAGTTTTTCTTGTTTTAATTTGTTTTACATTTTGTCAAGTTGTGTCCTTTTATAGCTTACTATGCGGTATGGGTTTTGCTCATTGTTGAAGGTCGTACGGTGACCGACAGTTTCTAACATCAACATCAATTACTCTCTGGTGGATAGTTGTCGCATTGGCAATCCTACCAAATCTTCAATTTTAGACTGGACTAAATGTTTAAAGTCAATAATGAGGAATGCGCGTGGAAGCCAAATGTTTGAGCAATCGTTATTCTATGCATAGGAAAGCATTTTATCTGGCTTCTTAGTGGGATGTTTTCATCGTTAAAATTTTGTGAGGCAATTGCTTCAATGCCTGAATGACAGCTTTGCTTACAGAAGATCAGGGGCAATTAACATAATGGCATTTTGTAAATTGACCCGAGATGGTAAATTATTCTTTAAAGGTACAATTTAATCATTTAGCTTCGGAAGTACAAATAATAAGACATCCTTGGCTTTTATTTTAGGTTTGTTTAACGAATTCCGCCAGAATTTGTTTTTACATGCACCATCTATATTTTAATAATATAGAGCAAATTGAAATAGAGAATAGAAACGGGGAATGTGTCAAAGAGACAACAACCCGACCAAGGAGTAGAAAAACAGCACAAGGCATATAATGGGTATTTAACGCATCGAGAAAATCACGTACCCGGAGACCGGCTTCAGCTGGCCCCTAAATAATAATGTATACTAGTTCAGCGAAATGAACTCCACACTTAACTCTGAAACATACTATTTTACCAAATAAATAAAGAACTGCGCCATGAGCGCATAATACGTCCGTTGACCTTTAAACTCGTCTTGTGCTTTAAATGAATTTATATGATCAACTAGAAATACTGTGATCACTGCTCAAATAGACTCCCCACTCCAAAAAAAAAAGAAAAAAAAAACAAAACAAAACAAAACAAAACAAAAGCACATGCACACGCAGTGGTACCCATTGACACAAAACATGAAAGATTTTGGCACTATTTTTGAACGAA